GTGTGAAAATAATTTGCTTTACTCTGCTGAAGTACTTTTGTAAAATATCTGATTCGTCTACCGAATAAAAAAGCACTGCAAAGGTGTTAAGCAGTAGGAAAATATATGCCCAAATACACATTTTAAAGAGCTGCAAACAAGAGGTGGGAGAGTGGAGTAGTAAGGTATGAAAGAAATAATTCAGTCAGAAATGTGTACTTTAAGCTTTCCTTTCCTTTCTTTCTTTTCTTTCTCCCTCTCTCTTCCTCTCTTCCTCTCTTGCTCTCTTCCTTCCTCTCTTCCTCTCTTCCTTCCTCTCTTCCTTCTCTTCCTCTCTTTCCTTTTCTCTTCCTCTCTGTCCTTTTCTCTTCCTCTCTTCCTTCTCTTCCTCTTTTTCCTTTTCTCTCTCTCCCCTCGTTCTCTTCTCTCATAATTCTCTCCTTTCCTCTCCCCTCCCCCCCTTTGCTGATCCCTGCCACAGGATCTTGCCGTTCATATTGAATGCACTGTGTGTGATTTTGTACAATTAAAGCTGCTAATAAGTGAGAAGCCCGAGGTCTTGTTTGCCGCAGCATTACGGGGTTGCTCTGGTACGCCTCAGCCGTTGAGTTGTCCCTGCTCTGGCCGAGGCATCCTTTCAGCCCCGGCACATCTCTGGCGCTGCTGGCAGCTCCCTGGGCAGGGGCAGCTGAAGGCAGCCCCGCTGCCTGGGGTCTGGTCCCCGCACCCTGGGGCTGCAGAGGGGCCTGCAAGCCTGAGGCCAGCTCGACCGCTGGCAGAGGTCTGCCTCCCTCGCCGATGAAGGCTGAGCAGACACTTGTCTGCTTGTCACAGGTTTTGGCAATCACATATTTAATGTGGATTCATTATGTGTCCTGACAGTTTTAGAAGGTGTTTGCAAAGTTTGACAGCAGTTTATCAATGGTGAAATGACCAGATTTAAATAAAAATAGCTCTATATAACGTGGTGTTTTTTTTTTTTTAAACACTGAGGCATTTGGCTTGTCAGCTTATTCAGTACCGTTCAAGCCCTGTGCAAATAGAGAGATTTTCTGTATTATTTTTGTTCCAGAACTGGCATCCGTACTGCCCCTATTGCTTGTTTTCAGTTTCTCCACTCTTCTGTAATCTCAGTAGTTTGGATGATTAACAACACGAGGGTTAATTATATTTCTTCACTTGGTACATGGGATTATTACATGTTTGTGGATTTTACACAGTTTCACTACTACTCGTCCAAGTGGGTCTCGTTTCCCCCAGATATATGATTCACCTTGCTAGATGTGAACAGTGCAAATTTGCTAGAAAAGGAATAATATACTGGGCTTACCTGAGTGTTCAGGTTTCATTTGTGGGCTTGTAATATCTGCCAAGACTGCTGTAAATTACAGGAGCAGAAATCATGCTCTGTTTTTGTTTTTTCTCTTGATTAAGTCAAGACATTTGGAAAAAAAAACCCAACATGTATTTAATTTCAGCTGTCCCCTTCTGCGCTTAGACACAAATAGTGTGTAGGCTGAGCTGTCACCCACCCTGATTTTCAGTTGGCTTCCCAGCCCGCTGCCCACGGGCATCCTCTTCTCCACGGGGCAGCACCAGGCCTGCCCCTGGAGTTTGCAGTCAGGCAAACGTGGCCGCTGGCTTCGGGAGGAGAGTGGCGCGTGCGGGAAGCCGGGCATCACTGTGTGGTTTCCTGTGGCCGCTTCCCAACCTTCATGCAGGAGGGTCCTCCCCTCCAGCGAGTGGCATTGCGGCAGGGCGGGCGGGGGGCGGGCT